ATTTTCTCCAGAACTCGATCAAGTCTTTTCTCTTCTTCTTCCTTGCATTCCAGCATCTTCTTGTAGCGTTCTAGAATTACTTGTACAAACTCTTGCTCTAAAGCAGTTGAAGGAAGCTTATTCAACTCTCCCAGCCTGTTATCTTGATCCAGTTCTGGCTTCGACGATGTTTCAATCTCTGGGGTCATTCCATCTATCTGATTTCCTCTCTTATCCAATTCTGCTTCCCTGTCCTTCCTTCTTGCTGCAGCTTGCAATTCTCTCTCCAGACTAGTTGTCCTTGTCAAGATCACACTCTTCTCTGCCAACGTAATTTCTAGCTGTTTTTTCATCTTGTACCCTACCACTACCAATTCCGACCTTAAGAATCTACAGTCAAAACCTTGTTTCTCCAAATTTTTTATCACCTTTACTAATGACTCCACATGTTCGGGTGAGACGCTTTTGTCTATCGAAACTATGTCCCTCACCTCAAAGAGGAAAAGCCAATACTGACAATATAAGAATTCATTTTGCTCTGATTTGTTAGGAAATTCAAGAATCACCTTCGGATCTTGAGGAAACACTCTAAAAATGTGGGGATAACACTTCTCCATCAACTCCTTCACTGGCATTTTTTCACTCCTTTGCATTGGTCCAGGTTCCAATTTGTTATCTTCCTTCAGCTGCATTAGGTACGCATGCACTTCCATGGGGTTCTCTGGATCAATTTGGACATGTACTTTCTGTTTCTTTGCTGGTGGATTTGTTACAGTGTCCTTTCCTTCCTTCACCTGCATCACAATTCCAAAATTCAAACTGCCGACACAAGCAAAGCTTCATACTTAAGTTAATCTATGTGTCTTCCATGCACAGTAGCAATATTGATTTTGGTAAATACTTGGAAACGGTTTCTACATGTTAAAATTTAGTGTTTACTTTTATTGCACATAATTATAGTTGGTTTTTTAAAAAATGTTTGGTAAAAAAATTCATTAAGTGTTGATAAAATCCATCCTAGAACCAAGCTCAAATATTTATTTCTTTCTAGGTGCATTAACAATTCTTTGTTCATCTTTTACTCTACCTTAAAATATATGTATTTATATATGTATACTGCATCTTAATATTGAATTTTAGATGTTAATTAAATAATTAATGTTTAATCGTCTATAATATAATATTCAACAAAGATTAACAATTGATTTTGAGATTACTATGGGTAATGTTTATAAAAGGAACTTTTATAATAGCATAGGGTTAAGGTAGAATTGTGGCTTTTGTTGGTGGAAGCGACCAAATTTATTCATCAAGTCATATGAAAAAGGGGGAATGATCTATATTTCAAGCTAGACTATCAAGTAAAATTGAAGTTTGTATAAACTTAGTCCAAGAAATTGTAAGGATCTTTAGTGAGCTATTTTTCACTTTGTTGAAGGTTGGATAATTGTAAATCTGGATCTCTTTTGGTTTCATCTATCAATGTGTCAAATATATAGTGCAAGGTAGTTCCTCTAACAAAATTTTAAGTGAAGTTAGGATTTGGGATGGACACTCTCCACATATATACGACCACATGTCATTCCTATACATGCATAACAAAAACAACACGATACCTGTATCAATCTGCACAGCATGCAGGTATGCAAGATCCTGTAGTACATAAAACAAACAAAACCAACCAGACCACCTCTTGCAAGCAGGAAACACGACTTTTTGATGAGAAGGGACTTCTTTCTAGCATTATCTAGAAAATTAGATAGCCACATTTACCTACCTGTTCACTTTACGTCCAAAACATACTTTTTTATTTTGAATAATAATAGCAACTGTCAGCAGTGACCTATCAAAGTAGAATTATCGAGTATGGTATTTTTATCATCGAAATCAGGTTGAGAAAATAGTAATTCTACAGAACAGTTTTGCCATATAAGATATGCCCCAACAGCAATTTACCAGCTCATAGAACTCTATAAGACAACCCCCTTTTCAGTTTTTTAAATAGTTGAAGAACAGTTTAATGCATCATCCATAAAAGCATGCATGTCTAAGATGGTTGGTTTTTCCAGTGCCTTACAAGATATCACAAATTACGAGGGCAAGTTTTTGAAATGAAATAAATATACCATTCAAGTTCTTGTGCTTTACAGAATTCTTGTTTCAAGAAAGGTTATGACCAGGGCATAACATTCAAGTGCATTTTCATTCCTAAGCGATTTCAGCATCTACAGATAAAATCAATTTTAAGGATTCCATTTCTTTCCGTTCATTTTGCCCTGGAGTTATACAATCCACAAGGATGCAGTAACTTGACAGATGAATTTAATATTATTGGGGTTTACCAATCATATGCTAAGGCATTCATTTTCTAAGACAGCAAAGGAATGTTCTTGAAGTAAAATCTATAAAAGTAATGCGTCCCACCTGATAATATCATTAAGCTCAAAAAGATAGTGCAGAAGAAGTAACTATCACAAAATAGTATATTCACGAGAAGGAAACTCCAAGACATCCAACTTACTTCAACAAGTTGGTTGAGAGTAACTAAGGGTATGTGACGCATGTTAGCAGGTTTGCCACCACGCTCAGGATATTTAGGAACTTGGGCATCAGGAATACCAGGAAGCGTAGCTGAAGATGAACCTCTTCCTACAAAGCCTGTTATATTTAATCGAGTACTTAATTAGTGGTGAAAATTTTGAAATCATGATGATAATAATGGTGGGAGGAACAATTCTATCATATAAAATAAATTATTTGATATATTTGTCAAGCAATCAACATAAACAAATAAACAAAATCCAATACACGAAACCAATAGATATTTGCTTCACTAGCACAAAACCACCATTTTTCATTCAACTTAAAAGATAAATTCCCATTTGGAAGCATGTAGAGGTTACAGTTGAGTATACCAGTAGGATGTCCTATAAGTTTGCGTCTTCGTATGCTCACCATCTCCGCATCCACTCCTCCTATAACAAGGCATAAAGGTGTAGTTAATGGCTCCAAACAATGAACGACTACCATCTTTATTCATAATCAAAAAGGGCAAACCATTTACGATATAATTAATTTATAACTACCATAAGCAATATAACCACAACGAATGACAAATAAGAAACAATCGTTTACCACATAAAAAACACTTAAATTGCAGAGAAAAAAAAAGGAAAAAGAAATGGAAATTAAGCATTTGATTAAGGACCAAGGAACACAGTATTCACAAAGAAATGGCAGCAGTCGCAAGCATATATCACTATTAATCATCTAAACGTAAACCAAGCAGCCAATGCCATTCGAATAATCAAATACATGCAGTTCAGTCAGATAAGACTGCAAAAATTAAGCCATTAAGCAGTCATTAATATAACTAACTTGCCTAACAAGCATTCACGAGGTTGAATATTCTTTCAGAATCCTAAGTTAGAAGAAATTATTAATAAATCAGGAAAAGGAGCAACAAAAGCTTAGAACATAACATGAATCTAAACGAAAAAGAACGAAAAATAATGATAAAAGTGAGTCACCGGCAAGGATGCAATATTTCGTAATGTAAGCAAGAAAACTACCGTAACCACGAAGGGTCAAGCAATAGTTGCATCCATGTTCAAGATTCGAGAAAATACAACATGGGGAAGCAAAAAAATAGAAAATTAAGAGAAACCCACATTAAAAAAAAATCCCATTTTTTACAATAAAAGAAAAAAGATCAAAAAATAATCACCGCCCACAACTTTGCAAGACAAGCAAGGGGGAGAGCATGCAACCTTTCAACACAAAAAGAGAAAGAAAGGGTGTTGGGTAAAACCTGAGACAAACAGAATGCGATTGTAGCAGCGTAGAAGCCAAGGAGCATTACCTCCGTCCGGTCTACAGTAGTGTAAAGCGAACTGACGCTTGGATTTTAATCACCTACTCCATTGAACTCCCTGACGCTTTTCAACGGGAGCATTCCTGGGCTGGGTGGGGTGTTCTAGTCCTGGCCTAAGCTTGTAGTGATTTTTAGAGTAAGCCCATATGCATATATAAGCTTTAAATTTGTCCAGGGTAAGCTAAATTGTTAATTGTTTTGATAAAGGTTATTGATCTTTCAAAAATTTTAATCCAACTATTTAATTTAGTCCATTTATACAATTAATTTAGTTTTTTGAATGTTATTTTTGGAATATTATTTGGATATGTAATTTTATATTTAAAAAATATCAAAAAATATATAAAATAAATACAGATTTTTTTAAAATTATATTATTTCGATATAAATATTATTTGGATGTGTAAGTTAACATGTGTCGGAAAGGTTCGAGGAAATAGTTTGACAAAAAGCTTTTTCAAATATAACACAACCAATGGAAAATTATAGATGAAAACTGTGATATTTAAAAGAAGACATATTTATATAAAAAAATGATCAGTGCTGTTTTTTTATAAAAAAACCGCATTTTCCACATGTAATTTGTTTAAATGATATAGTTCTTACTCGCAATTTTTTAAAAAACTCGCTGGGGGAAATTACGGTTTTTTTAAAAAAATTATTTTTTCTACTGTTATTTTTTTAAAAAAAAATATGCTATTTTTTTTAAAATCTAAATTTGCTATCTATCATTACCATTATCTCTTCCCACATTAAAAAAAATTATTGGTTTTCATAATAGGTACTGTTTTTTATCAGAGAAAAATATATTTAATTAATAAAGTAACTTATAATTTTTATATTAAACCTTACATATAATTACATTTAAATATTAATTTTATATTTCATTTAAATATTAATTTTATAGAAATTAAAATATTATTTTTACATGTGAAAACTTATTTTAAAATAATTTTAATTAAATATATATTTTTTAAAATCCAAACTAAAATTATTTTGTCGAAACTTTTTTTATTGTTTTTTAAAATATTTTTTAATTAAAAAACATACAAATAATATTTTTATTTTTTTAAAATTATAATTTTAAAAAAATTTAATTTTTTTAAAAATACTTTAAAAAAATGCCCCAACCAGGCCCTAACCCGGCAACTTTCGCTTCACATAGAAGAAGGTTCGTTAATTCTTTTTCTACTTCTCCCCCTTCTCTCCCGTCTCACCCTCGTTGGAAAATGCCTCATGTGAGCATAAATCGCCTCCTCTCCTCCACTCTCAAGAAACCCAGACTTGTCTTCTCTCCACTCCCACCTCCATCCACTCGTCAAATCACCGACCCTTCACTCTATCACCAGCACCGCCCATTCTCCGAAAACCCCCAATCCCAACCGCCCGAAATCCCATTCCTCAAAACCCCAACTCGAACCCCACTCGAAACCCAATTCGAAACATGGACCCAAAACCTCAAACCGGGTTTCACCCCAACCGATGTCGATACAGCCATCCGGGCCCAGTCCGACCCGGATCTCGCTCTCGATATCTTCCGTTGGACGGCGCAGCAACGTAATTACAAGCACAATCACATGACCTACCTGACCGTGATCAAAATCCTGATCAGCGGCAGGCGATACCGCCAGGCAGAGACTCTAATCGAAGAGGTGATTGCTGGTGCTTGTGAGATTAGTGTTCCACTATATAATTCGATGATTCGCTTCTGCTGTGGCCGTAAGTTGTTGTTTAATCGCGCCTTTGATATCTATAAGAAAATGTTGAAATCGGAGGATTGTAAGCCCACATTGGATACTTACACGTTGTTGTTTAATTCATTGCTTAGGAGATTCAATAAGTTGAATGTTTGTTATGTGTATTTGCATGCGGTGAAATCTTTGACGAAGCAAATGAAGGCGTCAGGAGTGATACCGGATACTTTTGTTCTCAATATGATCATCAAAGCTTATGCTAAGTGTTTGGAAGTGGATGAGGCTGTGAGGGTTTTTCGCGAAATGGGGTTGTATGGTTGTGAGGCTAATGCTTATAGCTATAGTTATTTAGTAAAGGGACTCTGTGGAAAGGGGAGAAATGGGCAGGGTTTAGGGTTTTACAAGGAAATGAAGGGTAAGGGGTTGGTGCCCAGCGGGAGTACTTACATGATTTTGATCTGTAGTCTTGGGATGGAGCGGAGGTTCGAGGAAGCAATTGGGGTTGTGGTTGACATGCTGGGGGATTCAATGTCGCCTGATCTGTTGACTTATAGGACGGTGTTGGAAGGCTTGTGTAGGGAGGGAATGGTTGATAAGGCTTTTGAGTTATTAGAGGAGTGGAGGAAGAAGGATGGATTCATGGGTGAGAAGAATTATAAGAGTTTGTTAAATGGATTGCATTTTGTAAGTCGGCAGTAGACTCCGTGCTCGCATTTAGAATTTTTATTCCATTGCCTGTGTTCGCTACTTTGTTGGATGTGAATTCCTCATTAAATCGGAGGCAATTGTCTGCTTGAAGATGGAATTATGAGCTGCAGTTATCCACACTAACAATATGATTGCTTGAAGCACATTGGATACTGTATTCTGAGCATCTTGCTCAAAGTTACTGGACGTGCGTGGTGATAGTGCTGCGGCCAATGCAGGAGAAGAGGTTGCTGTTGCTTCTGCCTTTCAGGAATGGGATAATACTAGCTTTCCCATGATGAATGTAGACTGTCTGACCACTTAGAAACCATGACAATAAAGTGGCCTAACATTCATATTGTTTTGGAATATTGTGAAACATCAAGTGTGCATGTTAGAGCTGGCTTAGTTTCATGTGGAAAATCATATATTATGGACGTTAACTTCTTTTGCTTCAGTAATGGAAGACATTGTAAGTGAAGTGTGCATGTCAGATCCGGCTGAGGTTCTGTTTGGGAACGCTTCAAAAAAATTAATTTTCTTTTACTAAAAATTAATTTTTAAAAAATAAAAAATAAATTATTTTGATGTATTTTAATATAAAAAATATTTTAAAAAATAATTTCAATTACATTTTTAAACAGACGTTCAGTCACCTGTGGAAAATCATACTTTATGGACATGAACTTCTTTTGCTTCAGTGATGGAAGGCATTGCAAATGAAACTCAAATTCTTGCTTCAAAACCAACTATATCATAGCATAGTTTTTAAACCCGGCCCAGTGGCTGGCCCGGTCCAAGGCCCGGGTTCCGGGTTTTGACCGGGTCACCGGGTTTTGACCGGGTCGAACGGGTCGGCCGGGTCAATTTCTATTTTAAAAAAAATTCAAAACGACGTCGTTTTAATAAAAAATAAATAAAAAAAATAAATAAAAGTCAACGGGTTTTGCCGAGTCGTCCGGGTTTCCGGGTCGTCCGGGTCTATTTTAATATAAAAAATATTTTAAAAAATAATTTCAATTACATTTTTAAACAGACGTTCAGTCACCTGTGGAAAATCATACTTTATGGACATGAACTTCTTTTGCTTCAGTGATGGAAGGCATTGCAAATGAAACTCAAATTCTTGCTTCAAAACCAACTAGATCATAGAATTTGCTTAACACAGTAGCACGCATCCTTTGTTTTTTCTTTGTTGTATCAGTGCCATTGGATTGATGTTTTCAGAATGAACAAAACTGGCATTGCATAACCGCTAAAATTCCTCCTGGTCTCCCATTTTGTGCATGGATTGATGCATTTGGATTGAAGTTGTAACTGGATTTGGTAGGGCAGTCCACGTTATGCCAATTCTCTAGTCCTGTAGCAGCTGACATCTTCTTCAGCATCGGCATGTAAATGCACGAAGTGTCTATTCGGAAAGTAGCCAAATGGTTCACATATAAGTTTATCCATATACCTTGCCCCATAGATGCCTTGACTCCAAGCAGAAACGTTGCGATGCTTCTCCATTAATTTTGTAAACTGGTCTAATCCCCTCACGTTGTTACTGGTAGTGTGTGTTTGTGTGTGTATAGAAGGATAGTTAAACATATTTTCTTATTTCATACATTTTCACTCATAATTTATATGGGCAATATTTTTTAAAATTTAAAATTAATGATACTTGTTTAATAACTAAAATTCTAGTTTCAATTATATTTGAATAAATGTTAAGGTTTTTTTACCCTTTTTGGTTGATAGGATATTAAGACGACGGAGAACATCTTAGTTTGTTTTTACAGTTTGAAAATGTTTTTATAAAAAATATATTTTTTTAATTTTAAGAGTGTTTTTAGATTGATTTAATATATTAATATCAAAAATAAATTTTAAAAATAAAAAAAAAATATTTCAATGTATTTATAAATAAAAAATATATGTACTTTATTTCCAGATTGCAAAAATTCTGTTTCCATACACATTTATTTTGTGTTCCAATCTCCAACATTTCAAGCAATATTTTTGCTTCTCATGTCTTGTCTTTTCTATTCTAAATATTAGAAAAACGCTGGAGATTTTTTAAAATAAGAGATATTATTTCAGTTTATTTTTTAACCTTATCTATATATCAACGTGGGTTTATAATGTATCCAAGTTGACTTCCAACCCATACATCGATTAAAATACCCACAATCTAGGGCCTGGCCCAGACCAGTGTAATACCAGGCTGGGTCCGGGTCTGATAAATATGGTTCGCGCACCTCTTCCATGTTATATAACGAGTCTCCGTCTCCTACTGAGCGTCAAACAGAAGACACACCACGCACAAGAGAGACCGCAATTTGCAAAGATGGGCTTCAACTGCGCATCCAAGGCGACCGCGATATTCCTTTTGCTATCAGTGTCAGCGCTGGGTAATTATCTGTGAGATTTATTTAGATCCAATCATTAACAGCTTTCTTCCTTTTGATCTATAAATTCAGTCTCGTCTCTCGCAGTTTCCGCCAAGAAATCCGGCGATGTCAAGGAATTGCAGATCGGCGTGAGGGTAATCTCTGACTAATTCTGTTGCTTCCGTTGATTTTTCTTCTAGGGTTTTAAATATAAGAAGAAAAACCTTGAGACTTACAGAGGTCCCACTAATATAGCATTTCAAGTGTATTTTTTGAGTTTTTTTCCTGTCACATTTTCTTATATTTTGAATTTCTTTTCTTATATATCGTTTCAGTACAAGCCCGAAACTTGTGAAGTTCACGCTCACAAGGGAGATAGAATCAAAGTACACTATCGAGTAAGTCGGATCGCAGTTTTTGTATGATATTTAATCTATTTATCCATTAGACCTTACATTATTGAGTGCAAGGATGAAGTTGTAAAATATTAACAGTAACTATACTGTCCACGTTGTGTTGTGATATTTGTTGAATTGGAATTCGTTCTAGCTTCGTTTATGTTGGCATTTTTCCGGGAGGATTTGGTGATATACATCTGGCAGAAGTAGATTAGTAATTTGAACATAATTTTTAAACTGATTGTTGGGCCGGACTGAAATTTTTCTAGCATGTACTACGAGACTTATTATTTTGAGGGATAGTTGCTTGTAATCAGTTTGGGTCGTTTTTTAGTCCAATTTAGGTTCAAAAGATGGCGTTTTGGAATTTGCTTTATTTTTCTTGTTAGTTTTGGATTTCTTTCTTATTTTTTCTATTTATTTTCGGTTTCGTCTTCTTTTATAGACTAGGCCGGTTTGACCACTATATAAACAGTTAGCGTGTTATTTTCAAAGCATTTTTCAGAATGATTGAATTTCAGAAAATATTGCAACAAAGTTTTTTCTACAATTGAGGATTGTAACCTTAGGACTTGAGAAACCCTAGTTTTTTCTTTTGTTATATGTTGTGTTAATTGATATTAGACTATGTTGGCATTTGTGAAGAGATTGCTAATTTTAGAAATTATAGATTTGGTGACTAGTCGTATGCTTTTGTTATGTCTTCTATCGATGATATATTATTGGCTTTGTCTATGGCTGTTTATGTATTTTTGGAGCTTAGGTCTCATTATGTATCTCCTAAGGGATGCAAAGTACGTGCTTGGCATGCCCTTTTTTAATGCAGATTTTTCCTAGTATTTGTACTTCATTTCATTTGTATCTCATCCAACTCTAAAGTATACAACACAAGGAGGGATCCTAAGTGCATAGGATAGGCACCTGTTAATTGGACATGTAAACAAGCATAGCCCCATTTTAGAGGATGATGGGCGCCACTTTGGAGAAACACTGGCATGGAACAAGAAGTCTAATGGCTCCTGTGACTTATGGTCCCCCAAAATGATTGAACAAGCTTAAATGCATAGGATAGATGATTGTTAGTTTTGTTTATTTTTTCTTTTCTGATTTCTTTGAGTTTGGTTTCTTAATTCCACCTATCAATTCTTTTGCTGATATCATAGGTTTTTTTCTGCACAGGGAAAACTCACTGATGGAACAGTTTTCGACTCCAGCTTTGAAAGGGGTGATCCTATTGCATTTGAGCTTGGCAGTGGTCAAGTTATCAAAGGTCTGAGCTGCATTAACAACCATTGCTTTAATCAATCTTTTGGTTTCTTTCTTCATATATATATATATATATGTGGTTTGCATGGAAATTATTTAGGCTAACATAAAATCCATCCACTGCAGGATGGGACCAAGGACTGCTGGGAGCATGTGTAGGTGAGAAGCGAAAATTGAAAATACCTGCAAAACTTGGTTATGGGGAGCAGGGATCCCCTCCTACCATTCCAGGTAATATATTATTTCCACTCTCGTATTGAAACCCTTCATACTGTTTTCATTAGTGAGATGCTGAGTTATCTTTGCCAAGTTGGTGTTTAGCTGACTTTTCAGGACTAGGATAATTTATGATATTGCTTAGAATCTTTGGTTTGGTTCTATTTGATAAAACTATCATGATAGACACACACACACCCACACACACACCCATTGATTTAACTTTCCTGTTTCGTTACTTGGAATCGTGATCGGCATACAGTAATATGTGGTGGTTATATGAAAATTTCAGGTGGAGCGACTCTAATATTTGACACTGAGCTTGTCGAAGTGAATGGGAAAACATCAAGTGGAGGGGGAGCTAGCGATAGCGAGCTATAGTCAGTATTCTGTGCAATGGCTTTCGCCATGGTTACTTGTCACCGTTTTTGGTAGCTCTTGCGGCCAAGCCAAAAAAAAAAAAAAGCATTGGAATGGATACTAGTCAAACCGGAAAACATTGAGATAATTTGCTGGCTACATGTAATAAATGTGGTTTTATTTGCTTATTTTAACAACCTATGATTTTGTCTCTTAATTTTTAGAAGTTGGCCCATATCTTAATATTTATTCAAGACACTGTTCGTAAACTAAGTTCAAACTAGGTTATAACATGAACAAATAATTTTCATGTGAATGAAAATTGAAGTGATATAATATGATGTCATGTAACCTATATATGAACAATAAAAAAATATAGCAAGCCCACCATGAGGCTTTAGATGTTCATGTGCTAATTGCACGATACATCCATGTATGTTCAATCACAAACCATGGAATTGTAGTTGTAACTGTTACTGTTAATTATTATTATTATAATAAAAAAAAATAAAAGAGGAGGGGAAATACTATTCCCCTATGCACACTTTATAGTTTGTTGTAACATTTGTTTTTATCTTTTAATATTAAGATTATTAAAAATTAAAAATTGTTATTTATTTTGGTTTTTTTAATTCAGAATTATTATGATATCAAAAAAATATTCTACAATAAATTGATGTTCAACTTTACAATTGTTTATTTTTTCTATTATGATATTAAATAAAAAAACTGTTTGCCATATTGTTAAATAAAAACTCATTTTGAAAAAAAAAATGCTTTATGATTTATTTCAATTCATTTTTTTTATAGGTTGATATTAATCTTAGAAAAATGTAACAGTAGTGGGTTGATGTTCTTTTTTTAGCTTTTTTATCAAATTATTAAATAAAAAATGATTATAGAAAAAAACATAATTATTAAAAATTAAGTTTTATGATTTATTTTTTATGGGGTTATTTTGATCTAAAAAAAATTAGTATTGAGTTGGTATTCGGTTTTTGAGTGCCTATTTTTTTTACCATACAATTAAATAAATTTT